ATCAATTATGGCACTCGACACTTCTGCCTGAATTGCTCGATTTTAACAATAAGGATTTTGGTGTGTAGTTCACCACCATAATATACTGTAATTAGTTCATTATGATACTTGGATTGTTGTATATCACAGTTGGGAAAAATATTAATAGCTGTTGGGGAAAAAAAATGTTGTTGGAGTCTAATATCCAATAATTCCCAACAAACCTTTATAATGTCAACTTAACAGAAATACTCAGCTCCATTTGAGAAGATGGGATTCGATGGCGAGATGTGGGATTCCACTTCTACAGAACTTGGAGGGCTGTCAGAAGCATGTCCGAGAATGGCGCAACCCACCTGCAGCCAAGAATTGAACATAATTCTTTCATCTCCACGTTTTCACTGTTTTTACGATTCACACATGACCTCTTTTGCTCCACAGGAAGTATACCCCCTCGTCATTTTGCAGACCTGGATCATGTCCCCTCTCAATTTTCTTCAATCGTATTTCTACATCCATGAACCACATCTGATAACATATAACATGAGCTGTGAAATCACTCTCATTGCTCTTCTCTCAACCTCTTCAACTTAATTCATGTCAACAACATGTTTTTTTAAAAACATTATATAAATTGTCTCCTACAGTTTCTGAACAGAGTAAATAAAAGGGATCCCAAAACAGAATTTTTATCCTCACATGGAACTTTGTTTTGTTTACATATCACTCTATGCCTGTTGGTTTAACACTCTGCCTGTTCATGTGGACGTTAAAGATACACTGGCACTATTCAAAAGGGAGTTTCCCCCGGTGTCTTGGCTAACAATCTTCCAAATAAAATTGATCGTTCACTTCACAGTTGTTCATGGGACGTTGCTGTGTGCAAATTGGCTGCCACGTTCATCCACAAAGCGCACAGTCCCTCCACTTTACGGTATATCCTGTAAAACACTTTGGGACATCCTCCCGACATGAAACGCGATATATCAAGTGTAAGGATTATTATTATTTATGCTTCCTGTTGCTAAATCAGTTTTTCAATTCGTTAATTTGGCGTTATTTCCATGAGCTTCAATCATTTTAAAAAATCTCATATGTGGAACATTATCAAGTGTCTTCTGGAATACCAAATAAATTATTTCTACTGGACAAACCCTAATTTACTAAAGTAGCTTTATTACTTTTCCCATAAAAATTCCAGTAGATTCATGAGCCACAGATGACCTATTGCTTTGAAATCCACGCTATCTACTCTTTATGCCTGTGCTCTTCAGATGAGCATTGATAGGAAGCTATGCAATGCTCTCAAGCATTTCCCCATTACAGATGTTAAGCTAACGGGTCTAAAATTTCCAGGTTCGGGTTTCATTCCTTTTTTTTGAATAATGGCACAGCATTCATATCCTCCAGTCTTCAGGTACAGCTCCAGTATTTATGGAGCTCGTAAAAAAATATTAAAAAGAGCCTCACAGCTATTTCCTCTCATAGTTCCTTTTTAGTATTCTAAGATCTATTCTACTTGCTTTACAGGCATTAAATGCTTTGAGTTTCTTCATAACAAATTCTACTTGTACTAAAGATTCCTGAAACAAAATGAGTTGATTTGTATTTTGACAACACTTGCTTTTGTGAACATTAATCAACATATAACTAAACCTCAACTAACAAATGAGAGTGACAAGATTTGCTTTGGGAATGGAATATGTTAGGTCACCTTACTTATAAATAATAATAATGATAATAATAATAATTGTTGCAATTGTTATAGCACCTTATCACGTTGTCGAAATGTCTTAAAGTGCTTCACAGAATATACTATAAAGCTAACTGACTGTATATTTTGTGGGCGAAACGCACAGCAATGTCTCACAAATAGTTGTGGATTGAGTGACTAAATTATTATTATTTTTTGAACGGATTATTACCCCTGGAAAGCTATCTGCCAATTAACTAACAACCGGGTACCTACTTACTGCTAGATAAACAGAGACGTATGAAGTAAGGAAACTTGCCTAAGGTTTCAGCTTGCCTGGGAATTGAATCCAGGTCCTCTTGCTTGTGAAGCGAGAGCTCTGATCAATATGACTCAAGAAGCTGCCTTGATTTTCACATGATTTTACCTGAATCCTGGATTGAATCCTATCCCTTCCCAGAGCAGATGATAGGAATGGAGAGAGAGAGAATATCACTCCCAACCCAATATGTTTATTGCATTTTCATTAAGAACTAAAGCATTTGGATGCTATAACAAGGCTAATATTTTCAGATAAAAATATATTAACACATCTGAATAACGTAGATATAGACTGGGCAAGCAAATTATATTTCACTGTAGCACTAATGCCCGAACTGTATCCTCAAGCTTTATAAAAAATGTTTTTTTGCTATTAGGGCAAGTGTTAATAAATTATTCTAATCTTAGCTAATTCTTTATGATTACACATTTCAGAAAACCAGCTAAGCCTTATGAAGATCGAAAGGTAAACCCTTACAACTGAAGTCATGTTTTCATGTTACAATACCATTTTTTAATACTTAACTATTACAAAATTAAAGTATTTACAGGAAAGCTTTTCTTTAAATAATTCAAATTTAGTTTAGTAACTATCGTCTTTGTTTCTCAAACAATAACAACAATAACAAATTATATTTATGTGGCGCCTTTCACATCGGAAGAACATCCCAAAGCACTGACACATCTTTTGGATGTGAAAGGCACTAAAATACAAAACAAAAGCTTGTTAATGTCAAATGCTGAACACGTGAAGTTTAATCTAAGATAAGCTGTACCTTACACTGTAGACTAATAACAATTGAATACAAATTCTCCGTATCATTATTGATCACATTATGAACTACAGAAATTAAACCTTGTTTGCATATAGAATTGCCAAATAACCTTTACCATTAATCAATGTGATCAGTACATGTTATGAATGCAATACACCATACATATTATATATATGCCATAGAGGAGCATTGTTATTAATATTTATTGAGGGTTTCATGGTAGAAAGATGTAGGTTTGAATTTTATTGGAACATTTGTTTTATCTGCTGTTCTGGGTGTCGGCCTAAGTTTTACATTATTAAAGACAAAGCTGCAAGGCTCTTTAGTGTGGGTACATATAATATTGTTTCTCGGTTAATCTGACAATAAATATATTTATATTACTCATTAAGAGTATTGAATGCCCAAATTGGGAAAATGATTGATAAAATTGTACGTGTACACGCTCATTTGAACAAAATGGAAATTCCGTTTTCTATAATGCAAAAATAAATATTAACTTTACTTGGTGATTGCAAAAACTGTATGTTTATAAATAATCTTTTGCTTAAAAAAGACTAAAATGCATGACACTCAGTTGAATTTTGGCAGGGACGTGCAGATTCTTTGAGCTTGTTGAGTTCCAGTAATTAATTATCAGATCTGTGAGCTGGGTGAAACATATTACTGATTAAAATGACAATGTAGGAATGCACCAATATCATTATTGGCAAACAATGTGTCTTTCTCAGGATTGTCAAACACTCAGAGCCATGCAATGCATTCTGCTATCATTGCAACCATGGTTTAATAGTTTTAAAATATTTTGTGCAAAACTAAAAAAAAACCTTTCACAGGACACATGTTAAAATTGCCTTAAACTTCATTGCAATTGAGATGTGAATTTTGAGGAAGATGATGTGATTTGGTTAATGTAATGAAGGACTGTATTCTGATTCCTTTATATGGTTTAACACTTTATAGGGGTCTGGTCTGATGTGATTCTCTTTCTTTTCTTGACTTTGCCTTTTTTTTCTCTCTCTGCACGCTCTATCTCCTTTCTCTGGAATATTTGCTGTCCTATTTTCAGGAATATTTTGTAAACAGTATGTATAATTGCAGAATGCAGTGCGTTGAACAAAATCACATATAATCTGTCACAGTGTTTCTGAAACTCATCTCTCCAGTGCATGGATTCCCTCATTATAGTACCTAATTGTATTTTGAATGAACCCAATGTTTTGGTCTCTGTTGTCTGGCCTGAGAGATTACGACAGACATTTGATTAAACGAGTTTTTTTCCTGATATCTGTTTGCGCTTTTTTTTTCTTGTGTGAAATATTAACATTCAGTTCTGGATTGTAGCGATCAGCAGGGAAGCTATTGCTCTGGTATTGATTTTTTTTACTGCAGAATGTGCTCTTTGTTGCAGTGTAACGAACTGGAGATGAACAGAGAAAAAACTGGTCCCAGTTGCTATCACAGAATTCCAGTACTAATAATTTGGGATTGGAAGAGATATAGAGAAATGTTCACTTAATCGTTACCAGGTGTATAAAATTCTAGAAATAATCAAAATGCCACTTCGTTTCCCAATGTCCTGATAAGACAATCAAACTAGCTCCTTCAATAACTGCCAACGTAAGTGAGCATTTTCAGAGGGGGAGAAAATAATCAAAATACAAAGAAATATTGTATATCTGTAAGTTCATTTTACATCTGTGCTTGTGAGTTATTGCATTGGTCTTTCACAGTTGCTGGAGAGAGTGTCTCATTTTGCCCACACTGTATTTCATTCACATCGTTATGTTATTTATATTGTTTCTTGTACACTTCCCACAGATTAGTTTTAAAAATGATAAAATATGAATACATGGTTCAAAGAGGCTTCCGGCTGGCAAATGTTTTCCAGAGAGAATATTTATCCACCTTTGTTACCGTGTAAGTCCCAAAGTCCTGTGACAACGTTGTTGTGTGATAGATTTATCAGACAGAGATTCTGGGACGAAAATAGTACTGATGCTATCAATGTGCATTGCAGGAGCCTGCTCCCAATATAAACATTGTTAAAATAGCAAAGAAACAACATAGAACGATTCTAGGTAAAAAGAAAATGTAGCTTTATGACGATGAGAATAAAAGCCAAAAAAGTATATAAAGGTTAATGATTTGATTGGTGAGGGTTTGCTCTGGGACTTGGCCATCAGGCACCACAAGCTTGTTTAGACATTCCAGACAAGGACCCTGCACAGGGATCACTGCCAGTCAGTTTGCAACATAGAAAGACTTTGGTGACATTTCACATTGGAAGCAAGGTCTGATACCCAGGTAATCTGCATGCTCAAAGGCTGTCTGTCTGTCTGTCTTGTCTGTCTGTTGCTACCAGAGGGTGATGAGAGCACCTGAATTTGCTTGGTTTTATTGTCTTTAACTGTGTTAGTAAATTCATTGGTTTCTTTTGAGTTTGAAATGGTTCTGTCTGTCTGACTAGTTAAGTTGTGTCGCCTGTCACCTCCCCCCCCCCACACACACACTCCCCCATCAGAGGCCACATTCCTTCAGCCTGAGGGAGCAGATTGCCATACCGCAGCTGTCACTGGAGCTCAAAATAAGCAGCAGTGTTCAGACCAAGCTCTCATCTCAGCCCTGGCCTTTTCCTGGTCTGTTTGAAAACTGGCTAATCACATCAAAATGTTATGTAAAATGCAATGCAGCTCAGAAAATTATCTGATTTCTGCTTCTGCTAAATCCTATTTTTTTTGTTGATATCAGAGTCCAAACATGATTCTTCAATGTGAAGCTAAGAATGAAAGATGATTTCAATATCAAGGCATAGTTACAGAGCTGGAACTTTATTCTGTGCGCATTTTAATCTTATTTTCCCTTGTTTAATTGATTTGATTTTTTTGTTAACGAATGACCGATTGCTCCTAATATTACTTTAAAACCATAAACACGTTGACAAGATCTTCCACCCGTTGTTCATGAAACAATAGGATTCAATTGAGAAATATGCTGAAACATTTGGAATAATTGATTTTTTTTCAAAAAAAAGTTTGAAAATATAAAATCATGTGTTCACAATATGTGGCCTGCTGGCAGATATCCTCTGCCTCTTCCAAATCATTCCAAATCTTTCTTGACCATTAAATTCGCCTGTGGAAGGTTGAGCTGAAGAGTTTGAGAGATGTTGAGAGCAGAAAAGTGTTTATTACAAGTTAAAAGTGAAATATGTCTTTGAAATTATGTATATATATCTGTTTCATAGGTATATGTTTATCAACATGCATCTTGCATATTTGATACATTTACAGGCAAGAGTGCAAGAGTGAGCAAGTCGCTGGTTAAAAAAAAACTACAGGTCTGATTTATGTGATTGAGTTGCTAATTTTAGGTTTATTTCCATTTTATTGCAATCCATAAAGGTTGTCTATTAAATCAAGAGGAGGAGAGAAAAAAATTCTAAACCAACCAAAGGATATGCATAATAATTCTGTATTATGGTTCGATATAACATATGGGGCACCATTATATTATGTCTGGAAGTAACTGTTGTTCCCTTTGACAGATTTAACTAAACTCCAAAAATAGAGTTGTGACTTATATATCATTTGATTCAACAGTGTGTTTTACAATTAGATTTACCATTTTTATAATTGTATCTCTGTTTGTATGAAGTTAAGTACAGTGCTACATGTTACATACTTGGTGTGTGAAATTTGGTTTGGAATGTTCAATTAAATTGAAGAGAGCATTAAAACAAAAATTGTATCCATAATATTGGCATAAAACCAGTGGGATTTATATCAGAGAATTAAATGAAAAAATATCAGCACAAAAGACTATTTGAAACTGTAATTATTAGCAGTAAAAGGCAAACTAACCATAGGAAAAAAAATCCAATTTTAACTCTACATATCTGTGCAAATTAGCACAAGAGCACAGACAGGAAGATTCAACCCCTCACTTTCATATTGCTAGAAGTGAAATAATAGTGAGCTAACTGCAGTACCATCAATAAATATCTAGACAAGCTAGTTACAACATAGTGAACAGATGCAGATCACAGAGAAATTTTGTTCATGAGGTTGATAACCTGTACAATAGGGGTATCAAGTTGAGAAAGATTGTGATGGAGAGAAAGAATGAAGGCTGGAGATGAAGGAAGGATCAGCTACCTCTCAAACATGAAGACTTTTCTTGTATTCTGATCCGAAGTACATTGCGGTATTAGAAAATATTGTGTTGGTCAAGATGCAATGCCTAATTTCAGATTCAGTGTACGGCGACAGAAGTTTAAAAAGCTCCATGCATCCTTAGTTACCACGGTTGTAAATTGAAGCCTATTGAAGTGTAGAGAAAATAAAGTATTTTTCGTTGTAGAATAAAGAAAGGAGTATTAAAGCCACTTAGAGCACAAATAATGTACAAAGCCAAAGTACGATATTCAAACCTAATTTTATTTAGTCAGACTTACACATACAAGTACAAAACACAAAATACTGCAGATGCTGGAATCTGAAACAAAAACGGAGAGAGCTGGGAAAACTCAGCAGGTTAGGCAGCATCTACGGAGAAAGGAAAGTGAGTCAATGACCCAAAACATTGACTCACTTTCCTTTCTCCATAGATGCTGCCTGACCTGCTGAGTGTATCCAGCTCTCTCCGTTTGGTACACGTACAATGTTGAATCTGAAATGATTTAGGCAGAATTCAGATTTGGAGTCCTGTAGCTCAGTGGTTAGAGCACTCGCTTTGCAAGTGAGAGACCTGAGTTCAATTCCAGGCAGGTCAGGGCGAAACCTTGGGCAAGTTTCCTTACTCCACACACCTAATAATAATCCCTCCAAAACCAAAAACAATAATAAATTGGTCATTTTCAATCTACGACTGTTTGTGGGACATTGCTGTGCGTAATTGGCTGCTGCGTTCGCCCACAAATATACAGTCAATTGACTTTACAGTGTGTTCTGTGAAGCACTTTGGGACGTCCTCCCGACGTGAAAAGCGCTATATCAAATGCAAGGATTATTATTATTATTATTATTAGATGTTCAGAAAAATATGTGTTTGGTATCCATCTTTTCTACGTGTATTGTTTTTTGTTCACTTATTGATATTGTGCAATATCTCTGCACTTTGTCCTATGAAGTACTTTAAGATATCCTTGAGACGTGAAACATGCCATACCAAATAGAAGCATTATAATAATAATAAAAACCCTTATATTTGTTATAGTGCTTTTCATTTCAGGAAGACATCCCAAAGTACTTTCCAGGATATACTGTAAAGTGGAGTGTGTGGTGTGTGTTTTTCGGGACAAACTCAGTAGTCATGTGCACACAGCAATGTTCCACAAATAGCCATGAAGCGAATGACCAATTTTATTTAGAGGATTGTTGACTAGGACTATGGAGTTTAACGTCCACCTAAATAGCCAGACGGGAAATTGGTTTAACATCTCATCCAAAGGACATATTATTATTATTATATCAGAAAATTGTTAGAAATTTTGCCTGACATTATTGATGTTCATGACTGACTTCAGAGTCAGACAAAGACTAAATTTGGTGCTTTACCTATCTGCATTTATCTAATTCTTCACCAGAGTTAAATTGCTAGACTGACAATAAGCAATAATATTATGATGCTCTAAATTTTCCCAGCAACGTCTTATTTCACAGGAGATTTTTGAGTCTTGAATTTCTACAGATTTTCCAGCCAGTTGTTTGAAACCTCCGTGAAATATATCTGCCTTTCGTTGACATCCTCAGAAAAAAAAACCTTGTCCATGAAGGAAATTGGTTTACTGAAGTCCAGAAATCAAACTGTGGTTTCACCCCCGGATGTCAGTATCGTTTATAAAATGTCAATAGGCATTAATTCAAGAAAACAGTTTTTGATTTCTTTTAACAAACCTAAGGAAACCCAGGCCTTGGACATATTGTATGGTTCTACCTAGATCAGAGCAGCATTTTCTGCATAACAGAGCTTTCTTAAAGTTGGGCAGAACTGTGTATACATCAATCGAGATGACCTGCAAAAAACTTACAGTGACATTTCAGAAAGTATTTTAACCTGAAAGATACCGGAGGTTTTTCCTTTTGGCCTGTGAATCGATAGTAATTGCCAAAATAAGCTGCAAGAAAAAAAATGCAATTTAAATCTATTTTCGGTTTGAGCTGTTAATATAGAAAGTTTTCCTGAATTCAATTGAAAGGAATTGCTTTTTACTTGCATGCTGCTCACCCTGCAGGCTGGCAATCATATGGTCTTTGTGGCGCACATCAAGAGATTTAATCCAACATCAGCTTTTTGAAAAGAACAGAGAACCATATTCTAAATTTCCTCTGCGATCTCTAATGAGTGAGGCTAAGTGTTTTCTTTTATATGTATATGAAGAGAGTGTTGAAGAAGAAAAGACATTACATATGTTTAGGGGGTAATTTGAGGGAAACATTTAAAATGCTGATTTGAGTTAATTACATCTTTTTCAATGTCTTATTATTTCAACACACAAAAAAATCCAAAATAGTACCTTCATGCTGTTTTATCAGGAACCATACCTATCACCTTTTGATGTTGTAAACGTAATTAAGTAAACTTGAAACACTCTGAAACAGCTTCCATTGGAGCTACGGTGAGGTGTCTGGATTATGAGTCATGAGGTCTAACATAGTAGATGGTGTGCGCCGGATGTAGAACATATGGGCTGACCGAGGAAAACTGAAGGCCAAACCGAAGTACTCTATAAATTTGGAATTAAATTATGCAGGGTGAGATGATGGAACCTCCATGAAGGTTCAGTAAGGCATACACATTTGTAGTCAACATTAGGCATGTTGGACGCTTAATGGAAAAAGTACGAGTAGTATTATAACTGGCCGCATGTCCCAAGAGTGCGCAACAGGGCCTGTTTGTTCAGAGGATATTCAGCTCGATTCACTAATATGGTGTCTGAGGGGGATTAGTTAGACCCATTTTGTACGATAAGGGAAAGAACTGATAAAATAGAGAGCAAATTGTATTATAACATGTTTCAACAATCTTATTCTTTTGTGAAATTAGGTGAGTTTTTTTATGCCAATTCAGATAATTTCTGATATTTATCAATACGTACAATACAATTTGCGTAAATAATAGAACGTGCCAAGAGTGGCGTATATATTCATCTGTGTCTATTCTCACACTGTTTGTGTCAGAAAGCAGCAATGCGCAGAAGCAGCAGTGTGTTATCTCTGTCAGTGAAGTGAAAGGATATTTGATTCTCTCATCCTGATAATCTTCTCTAAATTCAAAGCTGTGTATTGTGTGAGGTGGGGAACGGCGGTGCCTGGAAATGGAGTCTTTTCTTATTTTAACTCCAATGACACAAAAATGTTATAAAGAGAAAATGTAAGAATGTATACATCATACCATTGTGACGCGTTGCGATTTTCTGAGATTGGGATTAAGAGGCATTGACAGAATAGTGGAACAGGGCATGGGAATTGTATTTATTTTAATATATCACATCTCTATATATAGAGACTCAGTTTAGCTGAAAATGTTTATAGTGTTTGGCTCCTGTCATTTTGAGGGGATGGGTATGAAGGTACATTATGGAGCTTCAAGCCATCGCTTGGTCTCACTGCGCTACTCACCCGCTATGTCTAAGAGAATGGGCATCTTCTGTAGGAAGTCTCAATGGATTTTACCAACATTAAGTGAGAACAAGTCATAGAATCATTGAATATTATAGCACAGAAGGAGGCCATTCAGCTCATCGTGTCTGTGCTGGCTCTTTGCAAGAGCTACCCAACTAGTTCCACTCTCCCGCTCTTTCCCTATATCCTTGCAATTTTTTTCTTTTCAAGTACCTATCCAATTCCCTTTTGAAAGTTGTTATTGAATCTGTTTCCGCCATCCTTTTAGGCAGTGCATTCCAGACCATAACAACTCTCTGTGTAAAAAAAATTCCCCTCATCTACCCTCTGGTTCTTCTATCAATTGTTTAAATCTATGTGCCCTGGTTACTGACCCACCTGCCAGTGGCAATAGTTTCTTCCTATCTACTCTATCAAAACCGTCATAATTTTGTAAATCTCCCCTTTACCTTCTCTGCTCTAAGGAGAACAATCCCAGCTTCTCTTCTCCACATAACTAAAGTCCTTCATCCCTGGACTTTAGGTAAGGACTTTAGTCCTTCATCCCTCGACTTTAGTCCTTCATTATTATTATGCCTCTATTTATAAAGCCAATTATCCAATATGCTTGTTTAACAGCTCTATCAATCTGTACTGCCACCTTCAAAGACCTGTGTATGTGAAGCACCAGGTCTCTCTGCTCCTGTACCCCCTTTAAAACTGTACCTGGCATGGGAAGGTGCTGTCAATTCTCCGCCATTTCCGGCACCTCCAGCATGATCCAACCACTAAACATATCTTTCCCTCCCCTCCCCACTCAGCATTCTGACGGCGACCGTTCCCTCCATGACTCCCTGGTTCATTTGTCCATCACCACCAACAGTTGCTCTCCTCCCCCCGGCACCTTCCTATGCTAGTGCAGGAGATGCAATACCTGCCCTTTCACCTACTGCCATTACCACTGTCCAGGGCCCCAAACACAGAGTTCAAGTGAGTCAGTGATTTACGTGTACTACCAGCAATGTAGTTTACTGCATTCGCTGCTCACGATATGTCTCCTCTACATTGCGGAGACAAAACACAGATTGGGTGATCAATTTGCCGAACACCTCTGTTCTGTCCGCAAGCACAACCCTGAGCTTCCAGTTTCTTGCCATTTCAACTTTCCCTCCCACTTGCACTCTGACCTTTCCATCCACGGTCTTCTACGTTGTTTCAAAGAGCCACAGCGCAAGTTCGAGGAACAGCACCTCATTTATCTGCTAGGGACCTTACAGCCCTCTGGCCTCAATATTGATTTCAACAATTTCAGACCATAACAGCTCACCTTCCCCCTCCCCCTCTTCTGTGACCATTGCCACATCATCTGGGTCCCAAGCACCTTTAGGAACCCGGCTGTTGCTCGATTGGCGGATCGCTTTTCCAGGGGTAATAATTCCTTCAAAATAATAATAAATTGGTCACTTCAATCCACAACAGTTTGTGACACTGCTGTGCAAAATTGGCTGTCCTCTACACCATTTTCTCCTTTGTCTCCCTTGCTCTGCCTCCCCCCTCTCTGTTAGCCTTTAAAAGCCTCTCCCTCCCAACCTGCCCCAGTTCTGTCAAAGGGTCGTGAACCTGAAACATTGACTCACTTTCCTTTCTCCACAGATGCTGCCTGACCTGCTGAGTGTTCCCAGCGACTTCTGTTTTTGTTTCAGATTTCCAGCATCTGCAGTATTTTGCATTTTCTTATGTAAAGTGAATTGACTGTATATTTTGTGGGCAAAATGTGGTAGCCAATTGTGAACAGCAGTGTCCCACGAACAATCATGGATTGAAATGACCAATTTATTATTATTTTGAAGGAATTATTACCCCTGGAAAAGTAATCTGCCAATCGAGTTATAGCTGGGTTCCTACTTACTGCTAGGTAAACAGAGGCGTGTGGAGTAAGGAAACTTGCCCAACATTTTGCCCTGCTGGGAATTGAACCCAGGTCTCCCTCTTGAAAAACAAGTGCTCTAACCATGGAGCTACAGGACTCGTTAGCCAGATGCTCTCCCATTGAAACCCACTCCACTTGCCCCACTTCATTCCCCAAAACTAGATCCAGCACTGCTTCCTTCCTCATTGGGCTGGAAACATACTGTTCAAGAAAGTTCTTCTGTACACATTTTAGGAGTTATTTCCCCTCCTTGCTCTTTACACTGTTTTCTTTCCAGTTTATGTTTGGATAATTGAAATCCCCCATTATCATTACTCTATTGTTTTTACATCTTTCTGAAAGCTGCTTGCAGATTTGCTCCTCTATCTCTTTGCCACGATTTGGCCTTCTGTAATGTACACCCAGCAGCGTAACAACTCCTCTTCTGCTCCTTAACTCTAACCAAATAGATTTCATCTTTTATCCCTCTAGCATATCATCCCTTTCCAGGGCTGTAACAGTATCTTTGATCAATACTGCCACCACCCCACAATCTCCTCTTTTTCCTTCCCCATCCCTCCTGAATACATTGTAGACAGGAATGTTAAGCTCCCATTCCTTGTTTGAGTCAGGTCTCCGTTATTGCCACTACATCATAATCCCATGCAGCAACTTGTGCCTGCAACTCACCAACTTTATTTGTTTCACGCATGCACTCCAAAACTGCTTTTACCTGCTTTGCACTTCTCCCCTGTCTGATCCCTCCTCTTTCTGGACTGCTCTTTATTCTTAAGTTATTTGTCACTCCCAATCCTCTATGTTCCTTGTTTCTCCTCTTTGATGTTAACTTCCTGTTTTCCCACTGCCAAATTAGTTTAAATCCTCCACTACAGCATGAGGTAAACTTACCACAAGGACATCGGTCCCAGTCCTGTTCATGTGCAACCTGTCCACCTTGTACATGTCCCTCCTGCCCCAGAACTGGTCCCAATGGCCCCAGTAATCTGAAGCCCTTCCTCCTGCACCATTTCTCCAGCCACGCATTAACTTACTTTATCTTATTCCTAAATGCACTAGCATGTGGCATGGAGAGTAAACCAGAGATTACCACCTTTGAGGTCCTGCTCTTTAGTCTCCTCCCTAGCTCCTGAAACTACCTCAGCCACTGCCTGGGTATAATTATTGTGATTGCCTGTCTGTAATGCACTTTAGCTTGGGCACCTTTCACTGCTTTAAGACTCCAATTCTCTTTGTTTTCATGTAGAACTGGAAAGCAGTTATGGCAACATCCCAAGATACTAACAGTGAACAAATTGTTCCAGAGAACAATGACCAAGATGACGTGCTCTCGGTTCAGGCCAGATATCTCCGCAGTCCGTCCCCCAGCAGGTAAGTGTCCTTACAACACAAAGTGCCTAATGATTCATTCCTTGGCATAGTTGGGTAGAAGCACTGCCTTGTGTAGAACTCACCCACACAAACCAGTAAAGTCACAGATTTGACGCCTGGTCTATGCAGAATTGGCTAAAAGGTCCACCAGGGATTGTGGTCCTGATGTCTGCTGGAAAATATGTCTGCATAGCGCCTTTCATGTAGAAAGGACATCCCGAGGCACTTGGTTTGGCACCTGAGCTGGGGGTGGAAGACGTAGGGGTTGTGGAGGGGAAGGATGCCTGAAAGCGTGGTCAAAGAGGAAGCTCTTGAAATGGACCTTGAACGAGGCGAGAGAGTGAGCGAGTCGGAGAGATTCAAATGAGAGGACCGAGAATAGCCCATTGGGTTGTTAATGATGGGTTGGTATTTTAAATCCAAATCAGTAGAAATTTAAAGAATTAAAATGTTAGATTAGAGGTGGTCAGAGTCGTATATTTGAGTGAGATCACAACTGAATCTTGTATTATATATAGAGCTAAGTAAGATAAGCTACTAGCTTCTCCTTCCAATATCCACTTGATTCATTTCAGTACTTAGTTGGTTATTCCTTCGAATTACACTATTACTTTGTCTGGATCCACTCTCATTGTCCTCAGCATTTGTTTCCAAAAAAAATGTCTGTGATAATATTTCACCTGCAAAAAAAAAACCTTTCTGCTTCCCTTCACCTCAGACAAGGATTCTGCCTGTCTGTTATTTCAACATCATCTCCCCTGCAATTAACTCCAGACAGCCAACTGGTGAGGTAATCTCCCAGACAGACTTTCTAAAGATGTCATATCACATTGTCACTGCACTCAGAGCACGCCAGGTCACCTCCCAGCCATTCAACAGAATGCTGATAAACTGAGCATCTGCACTGAGAAACAGACATGGGCAAACATGGCCTTTCATACTGATCTACATAAATAGATAGCATTTAGTTAGTAAGAAGAGGTTAGAACGTGAGTTTTGTGGATACTGAGGTAGAGTACCTTGAGAAATGGCAGACAGTGCAAAGAAATGGCCTGGAGGTGCCAGAAAAGAGATTAATGATAGCTGAAAAAAGATGCTATTAAACAATGGAAGGAGGGGAAAAACATAAGAATCAAGTATGTCACCAAAACACCATTAGATTCATACGCCTACTGAGTGTGAACCTACGGAGTCACGTAGCAAATTTTAGTTGGAAATAAAGTTTTTCTTGATGGCTTTGGAAGTCAAAGGAGAAAAATGCTGTGTGCTGTGATAATTATCACATCACGTTCCCCATTTGCCCCATAAGTGGAGAATTGTTGAATGGGGTGTAAAGCCCAAGGATGCAGTCCCCTAACCCAGAGATCACTCAGTGGGTTTGTACTCTGTGACACTGCTCTGCTTTTGATGTTCGGTGGTAAATATGGGAAAGTTATCAAGGTGAATGCAGTTTTAGGATTTCAGTTCAATTGTCAGTAGTCATCGCCACCGGTTAAGTTGGGACTTGGTCATAACAAAACCTTTAGGTGAAGTTGTCAATTCAAACAATTTTTAATCTTGCAGCAAATGCACCTCCGTTCCACTCAGTTAGGAACAGTGCCGGTTTTGGTTGTCAAGGGAGATTTTGATTCCCTCTTACTTGTAAATAAAGAAATACTGAGAGGGTAAAGGGGATCAGAGGTGGTTACTGGATGGGGGGTGTACTAAATACTGAAATAAGCAATTTGCTCAATGGGATAGCAGGTAACGATGGGGGAAAGGCTAATATTTAAGCACAAATTTCTTACAATCAAACAATCCTGTGCTTTATAGGTTTTCCGTCATGTCAGACACGGACACAGAGAGCATCTTCATGGAGCCCATCCACCTCTCATCTGCAGTTGCTGCATCTCAGATTATTAATGAAGGTAAATCTATCAGGTGCCCCATCCCAACTAAAGAGCTCTGTTTTTTTTTGTTATATGTTTTTTTTCACGTTTTTTTCCTTTTCCTTTAGTTAAATCTGAAATAAATAGTCCCACCATGACAAAATACATCCTGCAAAAGACATAAACAAATTTGTTTTACAATTTGTTTGTTTTGCAAACAAATTCATGTTCACTCACAATATAAGCAGTACAATGTATCTTGTGAAGCGCTTTGCAACATCTTGATGATGTGATAAGGTGCTATATTGTCCGCCTGACATGAAAGACACTATATAAATGTAAATTTGTTGTTGTTGTACCAAATGCAAAGTTTATTATTATAGTATTATATTATGTGATATATTATTTTTTAAAAATCTGGCTAGTGAGTCTTTCTTATTTTGATGCAATTGAAGGAAATACTGTATTTAAACCAGTTGCATTTCAGGGGTTACATTTGTGACATTTCACAATAGATCTCACATGATAATCATTACATCAGATCCGATATGAACACGCAGACACCCCTAAAAACTGACCACAGAACTAACCAGTCCCCTCCCTACCCCCACTACCTCAGCATATTGGATTCCTCCTATTCCTGTTTGGTGAAAAAAACAACACAGTCTTGGCTTCCTGGAACCTGGCACGAGTTTGCTTTTAAATCCCGGAGTCAGCGTTTCACCACTTCTCCATAGGATGCCCGCTGAGTTATGTTGCTCTCCTGCGTTTAGCTCAAATGCTGATCTCCGTGATTTAGAGCAAATACTCGAGCAGAAACAAATCCTTGGGTGGAAGGGTATCATCCATCCCCCTTCCTCTCCCCAGCCTCTACATAATGGTTGTGTATGAGGATTTCTCTGCTCGGGTACCGTTCCCAATCGCCGAGATCGGCACTTGAGTTGCAGGTGAAAACAGGTTACAGATTTAATGCAGTCAGACTCCTGTGAAGCAGCACTCAAATGCCATCGCCAGGATTTAAAAGCTTACCTGTACTGAATTCCTGATTTCCAGGATGGTGCCATTTCCCCCTCCCCCCAATGCTCAATAGGCTGAATCTATTAATGACAAATAATAATGCTCCTTGCATTTGATACAGCACATGTAACGTTGAAATGTCTTAAAAGCTTTACAGGAAATGGCTTTCAAGTGTTGTGACTATGTAGGAGCAGGCAATTGTGGTGAAGGTAGGGAAGCAGGGTTTAATTCCATGATTTGTCCTCAAGAATGGCTGGAAATAAGTGAAATAATTATCACAACAAATCTCTTATGAAATGTTGTGAATTTCGCCACATAGTCCCTTTCAATGGTTTTCATCAGCGTGATAGTTCATTGGTATTTTAATACACTTTCTTTCTATTAATGGAGCGCTCATGTTAGCTTCAACCAGTAGTGGGGTACTGTGAACAAAGCTGTAATCTTACATTTTTTGCAAACCACACTTTAATTCCAATGTGCCATTTTGTGCCATTTTCTGACCCATATTGTGTTTTATACAACAATTCAATGCTTCCACCCACTTTGTACATATGTAGATAAGTAATTTCCATCAATGCTTCCTTTCTCGAGAACAGTGCTGAAAAATGTAATGAAAATTTGCTGAGGGCACAGGGGATAATTGGACGGGCTACCAAGGGTAATGATATTGCTTGTTGCTGCTGCAGTTCAAAAGGTCACAGCATAAATTAGTCTGAAAACACACGTAGCATAAACTGGCTCCTGGGCAGAGTGAGAGGCAAACTGCTGTGAAGCAGAAAGGCTCAAAAGGATAGAAAAGCAGCTATGCATGTTGTAAGTACTCTTGAACGTAACTGAATTCAGGATGTACACGTTTTGCACTTGTGAACAGGTTTTGCATGCTCTGCTCCTCACACACACAAACTCCTATTTCCATTTCTGGATGGGAATTGGAGTAATTAACTTAAGCTTGGTTCAGGGAGAGAGATGGCAGGGATCATACAGCTGCTATGACCAGTGGAGGTTCCCACTAGAGATGAGCATGGGTGGGAGGGGGTGGGGGAGTTTGGGGTTGTCCTGAAGAGCAGAGAGTGTTTTCTGAACAAAAAAGGAAGGACTATGTGACTGTTCTAAATTGGTGATGTTTTCTGATTGCCTAAAAAGAGCAATATTTTCACGGAAAATGCTTGGCAGACTATTTTTATGTGTACTGTTGTTGTTGCATAACAGAATCCTGTCAATGACTTTGAAAAGCATCATCTGAATGTGAAGTTATTGTGGTGAAAGTGGTATTTCTTCACTTTACCAGAAGAGTTTCATTAAATACTCCCATAAAGGCAGTATCCCTTCGACCGTTCCTGGAGCCATTGAGATATTAATATCTAATAATAGTAATAATAATAATAATCCTTGCATTTGATATAGCGCTTTTCACGTCGGGAGGACGTCCCAAAGCGCTTCACAGAACACACTGTAAAGTGAATTGACTGTATATTTGTGGGCAAACGCGGCAGCCAATTGCGCACAGCAATGTCCCACAAACAGTCGTAGATTGAAAATGACCAATTTTATTATTGTTTTGGGTTTTGGAGGGATTATTATTAGGCTCTGTGTGGAGTAAGGAAACTTGCCCAAGGTTTCGCCCTCTGCCTGGAATTGAACTCAGGTCTCTCACTTGCAAAGCGAGTGCTCTAACCACTGAGCTGGAGGACTCCATCTATTCTTGAACTGGGAGAACGCAGAGTGTATCACAAAACAGACATGAAATGTTGCTGAATCCTTGCTCCTTCTGCACTGCTGCAGTGGAGTAACTACAGTCGCAGCATATGATATAAATGGCTGCTGTTTTCCAGTTGTTTTGCTGATTTTAAAAAGGGTCCATAGCTATTGGTGTAGTGTTGCCTGCATTACAGATACACTTAGTCATTGCCTTAGAGGAAAGGTACTGATAAAGGCTGGGCACTTCCCCATGGGGATGGAGAGCAAATCAAAGAGCAAGTCCCCTCAGGCCACTCTCAAGCACCTCCTATCAGTCAGCTCCAGAGACGCATTGGTGGAAAACAGGCAAGCGGGTCACTGTCCAAACCACTGAGCTGGGGAATTGTGCAATAGAACGGGGAGACATAAAATAACATTAAAATAGCTAATGCACCTTATTTATTTATGTCCTCTCTTTTTTCTTACTTTGTTTTGATATTTTATTGCGGTTAATTTATCAACCCCTCCCCCAAACCCTTCACCTTGTCTCAATTTCGCCAGGTCAGCTGGAGTGGCAGACACAGAGCGGGCCTATCATGTGCAGTCTTCATAATAGGGTCAGACTGCAACGGGATGACGGGTTGGGGGTGGGGGATTAGTTCACTGTCCTTTCACTTCTGGGAATCTTGATTTACTATACATCCACCCCTGCCTTAATGGAATGAAAGTCCTGGTCTGTGCGAAATAATTCAGTAGAAATTGTTACCAAATAGGACATTCTCGCTTAAAAAAAAAAGCCAGAAAGATGGCTGTTGTAGGAAATATCAGTGTTTCACTCATGCAGCAGGAGTGGGGTCAAATGTGTTGTTGCGGCACAGTAGGTTACCTTTAGCTGACCATGGAATACTAACTCCAGATTTAAGAATTGGTCAAAACAATTATGATTCCCCAGCACGAACATCTATCACATTGGTAACTATGTGATATGCGATTAAAATAAAAAATAACTTGTGAGAGGAAGGAAGCAGATACAAGAACAGCTTTCACACATTAAAACATTCCAGCATTAACAGTTCTGTCCATGGTTGAAGGAGATTTTTTAAAAAAAACAGGTAAGAGGTGAAACTCTAAGATAGAAGGTACAGACACAAATGTGTTATTGCATCAAATATCACCATTACAAGCTGCTGGTTATCAGTTCAGTTATCCTCATGAATGGGGAAAGGGCTGCAATTCACTTGCCCAGTAATGGATTGGGGGCATCTACTAGTTCCTGTGAATGCAATTGCCCTTCTACATAACTTGCAACAATATCTCCAACCCTTTGAAAATCTCAGGAAGTGTATAAATGGAGTCCGTTCTAAGAATAAGTTCTGATGTTTTATTGGGATCAAAGTCTGGATTTTCCAAAAGTTTTCAATTTTGTCTAATTGAGACTAACCATAACAGCAACAACTTACATTAATATTGCGCCCTTCACGGCGTGGAGGGCGCTATATAAATCCAAGTCGTTGTTGCTCACACGATGTGATGGCTTGGAGCACTGAAAAATAGTGGCAGTGAAGCCTGTCCCTAAAAAATTCACATCACATGTACATAAAGGGAAATGCTACTGTTTTGTCTCTTTTTATTCCCACTATTTTCTATGTATCTTGCTGGTTGGAGCAGTAGATAATGAGGAATGTTTATGTCTGCTAGTCTTGTGATTCAATGTCAATAACTCCCTATTTCCACTGGTGCCCTCTACTCTAATTTCCAGTGGTTCCCTCTATTCCTATTTCCACTAATGGCTGCTATTTCTATTTCCACTGGGGCTTCTATTCTTATTTTCACTAGTGGCCTCTTTCTTCTATTTTCACCTTGTGATATCCACACAAAACCTTAAGCCGAATCCCAAGTCTACTGTATGTCCAAATGCTACTCTGCAATATCAACACATTCATTTTCTATTGTATCTGAAGAGCTAAAACATAAGGAGATAAAAGTCGAGTCAATGTCACCAAAGATGATGGAGTCAGCTGAGCAACTGCTGGTTGAGGACCTGTATAACCGGGTTAAAGGAATGATCGATGACACCAGCAGATTCAACACCCCATGTATCATGGACATCCAGCGCGAACTCATGCAAAAGCTGGAGGCTCCCAGGAATGCCGTAGATGAGGTGTGGCCAAACATCTTCATATGTGATACGTAAGTAAAGGAGGAACATAACAGTAAAGTCAGGGTTTAGGTTCCTGTGCTCATGAGGTGGACCTGTCAGAGACTGACTCTGGAACTGATTTTTCATACAAGGAAGAATAAATTGACCGGTTGGTGTAGGGTGACATAATTATTTAATTGAAACTGGTCATTTGCTACATTTTGCGGGTAAAGGTTATCGGTGCAGAGAAACAAACTGTATTCCTCTTTGGCACCCAATAGGAATCAAATAACATAAGTCAGGGACTCTAGCCTGGCAAGGTCCCTTAACCTCAATGAACATAATATACCCCTGCAGTATCAGTGTGTTTTTATTTCTGTTTTGTGTGAGATTTCCAATGCAGACAAAATGTATATGAAATTATGGGCAGTTTTGTACTAAAATATTGTACCCATCCTTACTAGGAGCTGGGTTTACTTGTGACTAACCAACTCTTTTCACATCGAATGTCCTATTAACCACCAGAGTGAGAGGAAACTTTCAACATAGCCTGAGCTGAATTCATACCAAGGCCCAAGAGATGAAAGGACAGTGCAAATCTATTTTAACCATTCAAAATGATATTGCAACTATTTTGGAAATGCAGCAATTTCCTGAATAATAATCCGTGATTTGATACAGCACCTAATCACGTCTTTGAGATGTCTCAAAGCGCTTCACAGAATATACCGTAAAGTGAATTGACTGCGTATTTTGTGGTCGAAAGTGGAGGCCAATTGTTTGTGGCAGTGTCCCACAAACAGTCGTGGATTGAGTACCAAATGATTCTTTTTTTTAATTATTTTTTGAAGGGATCTTTGAATGTGGTTTTTTGTATCTTTCTTAATTCTTACTGGGCTGCACGTGTACAATGGGAGATTTCCTTTATTGCTACTCCCTGCCTATTCTTGAATTGTCCAGTGGAGAAAGCCGCATGATATATAAAAAATATTTAACCAATTTACTGCCAGTGACAAATTGCCAGGCATATCCTCTTTTCAATGCCAGTGAGAAGATCGCTTGTCATAAATAACATTTAGGAAAGGGGCTCCTGCTGTGCTCAGCGACTGCTGCAATCATGCAGCTATGAAAAAAGTAAACATACAGCTTTTCTGTTACCCCCCTCTAGAATTAATTTATTGGGGTAAGGATTGCTTACTTCAATAATTGCTTTATGTTAATTAACAAAAGGAGCATTTTATGAAAGGCACCAATAATTTTCCCATGGTTTCAGAATTAAACACAACAGACATTATTAAATGACTGCACTTTGATGTCTATCTGCAGTTGATCGCTGTCCTGCACGTTTGAAGCCCTAGCTTTGCTATCAGCTCTGAGAACATTTTGTTGCGTTTGGAGGAAGGGGAAGAGAAGAAAATGTAGCAAAGGTTTTGGTTGTGCCTGTTCAGGTGGGCGTTACAGACCCCATGGCACTTTTCAAAAAGAGTTTGCCTCAGGGTCCTGGCCAATGGTTCCCAGATAAGATAGATGATTCATCTCACGGCTGTCTATGGTTCGTTGCTATGCACAAATTGGCTGCCCCATTTGTTTACAAAATATATAGTCACTTCACTTTACTTATAAAGAGCTTTGAGATGTGTTCCCCAGTAGTAAGGGTGCTATATCAAATGAAAGCATGTGTATATATATTATATATATTTATTGCCATATTTATATAGTAAGAAAGTGTCAATTGCCTTTTTCTAGGAGTGTGGCAGTAAATAAAGGTCGGTTGAAGCGACTGGGAATTAGTCATGTCCTCAATGCTGCCCACAATACTGGTGTGTACACCAGGCCAGAGTTTTATGCAGGAATGGAAATCCAATACCTTGGGATTGAAGCTGATGACTTCCCTGATGTCGACCTTTCCAAATACTTCCGCAAGGGTGCAGAGTTTCTGGACGAAGCTCTTCTGACATGCAAAGGTAAGTGGGATCAAAATAAACCTGTGCCATGTGAAACTCAGTGTAGTGCCTAACAGGAACAGGCAGGGATGAAAATTGAGGTAAATGATGACAATAATGAATGTTTCTGTTAAAAAAACATCCAATCCTCAGAACTAAAATTTAAAAAAATTTAAAATATTCTTAAAATAATTTGTGAAAATAGCTGATCAGTATAGAAAGGTAAGTGCTACAATAATTCACCTCTCCAACTCTCCCTGAATCTTTTCTGCTGGCCTTTATAAAAAGGGCTTACAACGTTTGATCCATTGTACTCCACTGGTCCCTGGGCAACTCATGGGAGGAACCGTGCCTTGACCCTTGCAATTTAATGGGGAGCAATATTGTATTTTCAGGCCTGGAGAACAAGATATATGTAGTTCTTCTGAAATAAGCACGGGTTGTGTCAAGACCGGTTCCATTTGTCAACCACGCAAAAATCAAACACCCAAATAAATGAGGCAGTTGAATTTAATGTAGAAAGTTGTTTTAAAGACGGATCTTTCAAGCGCTACAGTTATTTTAAAATATTAAGTCAACTTTGTTTAGTTGGTAAACACTCAATATATTTTATCCAAACAGGTGGAGAATTCATAATAAGCACAAAAAGAAATTTTAATTTTCGAAGCACCTTTCATGTTGGAAAGACATCCCAAGATGCTCGACAGTCCATTGTTTGCACCCAAACTGAGGGTGGTAGCAAGTATCTTGGGGGAGGGTGGGGAAAAGATGACCGAAGGCATGGTTACTCAGATCATTTTCTTCCTTTCAATAGGTAAGGTTTTGGTTTCCAGTGTCATGGGAGTCAGTCGCTCTGCAGCACTTGTAACAGCCTATCTTATGATCTTCCACGACATGACTATCATGGAGGCGTTAATGACTCTGCGCAAAAAGCGGCCAATTTACCCAAATGAGGGCTTCCTGAAGCAGCTTCGAGAGTTGAATGAAAATCTTCTGGACGAACGTGGCAGATCTGACTCTGATGATGAGACACAAAGCCAATGCTCTGTGATAGAAGCAAAAGCCCACACCATCTCTGTGGCTGAAGAGGAAACACAGAGCATCATTGGAGCCAAGGTGCATTCTATTATGGTGGAAGAGGAAGACACAGCTAGCATGATCACTGGTAGTGTAATGAGCTCTGTGGCAAAATCCAGCATAGCATCAAAAAGGCCGACATTAATTGATGTGGATGAAGAGGAACGAATCTATGAAGAGTGGAGGGTAAAACAAGGTTTGCCACCAAAAGAACAAAGCAACACACTAGAAGAGAAGAGACCTGAACTCCCTGAAGATTTTGAAGAAGAGGATGATGTTGACTGGCTTGTTAGGGAATGGCAGCGTAAAAATGAGAAGTTTCAGTCCTGCTGGCAGCCTGATCATCTGAGTGACGATGAAGAAAATAGAGGGTCCACATTTGGAAAGGCAGAACAGATGGTGCAAGTGAACGAGATGATACAGAAAGTGTTGACAGTCTTTACATTGAACTTCTTAAGCAGAATTTAGACAAAAGTTTAAACAAGCCACGTAGAGTTCGAAATGACTCAGAATCCACTGACACTAGTACCTGGGACATGTGGGATGAACGATTACTGGAGATAAGCAAAAGAGCTTCGAAAGGAAATGATGACAGTAATCTGTCCTTTCATGGAAATGGTGGAAGGAAGAGAGATCCAGATGAGGAAAGTTCTGTATTCTCAGATACTAGTTCTTTCTTCAACTTCTGCAAGAAGAACAAAGACAAGCTGACCCCTCTACAAAGGTGGCAAATCAAACGGATTCAATTTGGGTGGAATAAGAAGGATTCCAAAGCAACTGATGGGAACCAACTGGAAGAAAGTGAAGAGAGGGAGGAAGCAGGGAAAAAATCACTCGACGATGTTAACCTGACAGCTTATCAGAGCTGGAAGTTGAAGCATCAGAAAAAGCTGGGGAATGAAAACAAAGATGAGATCATTGATTTAACCAAAGATGAAGACACGGCTTCAAAGAGAACTAAACAGAGACGAGCTGAGGTCCTGGAACGCTCCAAGCAGACCCTGGCAGAGAGTCAATCCATGTGTGGGTTTGAGACAGAGAGCTCGATGAGTGGAAGCATTCCAATGTCTCTCTTCTTACCTAACTTATCTGCCAGAAGTGTAAGTGATGATACAGCTTCTGTATTGAGCATGCAGAGTAATGCCTCTTCAGTGTCTCGAGCTAGAACTGTTTCAGGTCTTGGTCTAGCCACTGGAATAGCTGCACCTTCTTTGCAAGTAAACAACGATGACACCATTTCCATTGCCAGCATTCAGAAATGGATTGCTTCTGTGGTTAGTGAACAAATTGCAATAAAACAAAATGAGATAATGGGTGGGCAAAGTGCTCCTGGACCCACAGAGGATGATAAACTGTCACACTTTAGCATGCAAAGTGGAAACTCCTATGCTGGTTCCCTGCTGGGTTCAAAAGCAATACAAAGCACAGATGTGAAATCCACAATGTCATGCAGAAGTTTGTCCAGCCTGCAATCCGAAGGCTTGCGTTCAAAAGAGAAAATTACAAATACAAGCAAACCTCTCTATAGCTTGTTCGCAGATGAAGTTAACCTGAAAGAGTTAGACCATAAGCAGAAGCAGATCAAAAGTGAGATGAAAGATAAAATGGACGCATACAAGAAAGAAAAGTTAGTTTCAGACAACAAACGCAGCACGTTGTTTAAAAAGAAGAACAAAGGTGAAAATGAAGATGATGGTTTGGGTGGAACACCTTCAGGCAGGTCTTCCTATTCAAGGGCAGAGAAATATGACATTGCATCTGATTTTACAGGTGCATCCACAGGTGCTGGTGCGTCAAATACAACTATCAACATACACAAGTGGCTCAGTGATGTCAAGGAAGTATCTGTCGAGAACAAAACATTAAAGGAAGTTCGGGATGTGGACAGAGAAAAAAAATTGAATGAAGTTTCTTTCTTCAAAAAATACGACAGTCCTTCATGTTCTACTTTGTCAAAAGATTCAGCATCTTCACATCTCAGCAGAGATGTTGATCTCAGAACATCAAGTTTCGCTAATGTGCCATTGACAGACTCAGATTATATATCTAGACGGTTTCCCTTATCCTACAGGGCAAAAGATGATGATACCACAAATAAATTGAGACGTTCTACCCCATCGCCCCACTCTGAATCGTACACTTTCCAAAGGCCAGAGGTTGAGGAAGCTAGACCATCTGGAGAATCATTTTCTGGGGCCTCTTTGATGAGAAGCTCCCCTATCGAAATGCAGCCCTCAGGCAAAGACCTTGGCTTCCAGTCATCAGACCAACCAATGATTAGTCCTTGTCCCCGGAGATCACGATTCTGGAATTCTGAAACAGATATGAATGACTCTGATCATGATGATTCACTGGAGATGAGGGCGAAGAGAACATTTAAGCAGAGTTTTACGGCTGTAGAGGAAGAGGGGAATGGAAAGGGCAGCGAGAGTGACCATGAGAATCCCGCGGCAAAGAAAGGGTTAAAATCCACAGTGAAAAGTAGCAGTGTTGAAGAGGATGATGAAATCATAGCTGCTTGGAGGAGTCGTCAAGAAGAAATGAGAATGAAATTACATAAAAGGCATCAAAAAGAATAAATGTAATACTCACTGGCATAAGAACAACAATGAATGAGATGGTGTGGAATTAAAATTGAATAGGATTTAAAACAATTTAAACAAATTGTTGATATGAAATAACTATGGGAATAAAGTATGTTGTAACATGAGTTTGCCCGCTTTTGGATTAAATACAGTATATTGAACAACGTTTAACTATGGTTCACTGGCAGAGTCTGGCAACATATACAGTATTCAATCCCCTTCACTGGCAATGAAATCTATCCCTGTCAAAATATATTGCATGCTTAAATTGTTAGCTTCCAGTTTACCTTTGCTGTAGAATGTCTACTTACACAGATGTTATTCATTCTACTTTAAGATGTGAGAAGGTTTAAGAGTTTTATTTTCATTGCCCTTTCAGGAAATCAATGATGTCTAAATATATAGTTGACACATTCTAAGTTTTTTTTAATATGAATACAGTAAGGCTGGGATTAATTGAGAATATCTATTAATATCTAAATAAAATGTTTGGCTGCTTTTTTTTAGTTGTGTACGTTTTTTTCAGTCTTTTAAAAGGGCATAATTTTTATCAAAATGGTACAATGTTTCGGTCCAATTTTCTCATGAGACTAAGTATACGTTAATAGCTAACAATCCTTCAACAGTTTATTTGTAAATAAATTGACTTGAATTTGTCACACAATTTGTTTGAAGATCATTCCCCTTTAAGACATAACACATATAAATCCAAAACACAAATTATCTATTTACGATGATATCAATCCATAAATGGTCCATCTGTTTTGTTTGTCCTCCTTGTTAAGGGGAGAAACTTGGCACAAAAATATCATGGATATGCACATCAGTAATTGAGAATCCATGGAAATTATTCTGGCACAGAAGACCATTCAGCCCATCATGTCTGAATATTGAGTAGTGAGACATTTGCTGCATCAGGATGCAAATGACCCCAGGTTAATTTTTACAGCACTGAAGGAGGCCGTTCGGCCCACTGAATCTGCATCTTGGAAACTTTGTGAACGTTTGGCACTAATGAAAAGAAGATTGCTTTTTCTATTAGTATTGTAGGTATGCACACACCAATTCCCAGTTGCTAAAAGATTATAATTGTAATTTTCTTCTCATTTCTTGAATAATTATGACCAGTTTAAAGGAAATACACAGTACGTTGCATGCAGTTGTTGTGCTTTTGCTCACTTATTTGGATAGTTCATCAAGAATTAATTTTTGATAAGATTCATCATAAATGTTCAAAAATACTGTTTTGTGGTAAAATGAAGCCAAATAAAAAATAAATTCTTAATGAAATGTTTTGTACTTTTTGTCTTGATTTTCAGTTGTGATGAGTAGGCCAAATACAATATATTTCTTTAAACAAACTTATCTCTTATCTGGGAAAATGAAAAGTCAAATCAGAGAATGCTGGAAATACATCTTGATCAGCATTTGAAAGAAACATGAGTTGATACTTTAGGTGTGACCATGTAAAATTTTGCTTTAACTAGCAAGTTGTCCCCTCGATGTCGAGCGAGCTAATCTCAAGCTCAGGGATGTGAAGCATAAATTGGGGTCAATACACCAGGATTGCTATCAGGGATTCTCTGCTGTAAAGTGTGCATGTGTGGACATTGAACAAGAATCAGGCTTAATTGGGATGCTTACCATCATCAAACAACCTGCCAGCACTCAAAGGAATATAAGCAGATCATTTGCTCCAATAAGTGTGCCGGGCATTTTATTAATCATGGCAGCTTTTTTTTCTTTCCAATCCCATTTCCCCACCTTTTCTCCATATATCCCTAACATCCTCACTTACCCTTAAGTACCTATCTGACATCCCTTCCTACATTTTGCTCCGCACTCCTGAAGGTTTGACGTTTTCCTCATATTGCAATAAGGTTTCATGCTTGCCGGGCAACCTCCAACACATCACCCAAGTGGCCATTTAAAACCTGAGACTTTTAAAAGTTAATTTTTCAAAAGTTTAGCACCACAGATTTTGTTCACTTTAAATGCACAGCGCTTGTGGGAGACTACATTGGGACCCTGGGTTTGTTGGCACAGTACTGCTTTCGCTGGGAGGCAATCCATTTGATCTTGGTCCCTGGAATTCCCTGGGGAAGGAACAAAGGTTCCTGTGTACATTAACTTGTGGCCCTGCTGGTTGGGGTCAGTGTCCTTGCCTGGCTTCAAGCAGGGTGCTACTGTTGAGTTATTTCCCCCTTGTGACTGCAGGTCATTAACAGGTTTAGAGTAGCAGTGACGACCAACATTTGAAGATTACCGTAGATCAAAGGATAAATTACAACCACAGCTTGTCCAGAAAAACACTGATTTTTTTGTAGCTTTTTTAGTTTTTGTTTAAACTAGGGTTACAATCTTATAAAAAGAAAATGAAAACATCAATTAAAAACAATAATAATTCTCAATAAAGCACCTGACGAAGGAAAAAGGATGAAAGAGCAACCAGTCTCCTCAGGTCTTCATTCCCACCCAGAATAGGCAATAGCATTTGTGGGACCTATAATACAATCTCAACACAAAGAACCTATTACGTTACGACATAATATTTATTCCATAATTTTTAAACTTTTTTTCGGGGGGTCAAAAAAGCCATTTCCTGTAATGCTTTTGTATGCAATGTAAGGGTTAGTTACCATGTTTGGAAGATTGATTTGCTGCATTGTACTTAAAATATAATAAGATTCTCAGATTTTCTCATTACCAAATAACCTCACTATAGAAACAATTATAAGGTGTGTGCATCATTGATTTTTTTATTTTCCTGTGTTTTGTTTTACCTGTGTTACTTTGTTAATAAGTGCAACAACTTATTCTAACTGAACCAGGTTGACATCTATTGTTTTTAGGAGCAAACATATTATTGCACAACAACAGGTCTAACACTTGTATTACATAGCTATGAAGAAAAGAAAATGGGGCCACAATAATGTAATGTTTTCTTTCCTGTAGTGCATAGCAGAAGAACCAATACCATTGCCTAGGAAAACAAATGCAATGGTACAAGCTGCATTTCTTCACGAAAGATTACTTTCATTCAGACATCTGCTGGAGATTTTTGTAAATTAAATATTGAAAATAGCAATTTCTTCTTTCAAAATAGGATAGAAACATCTGGTTAAAAAAGCCTTCCTTCATTGTAACTAAAATGATTTAAACTGTAAATGCAGCAATCCAAATATTTAAATTATTGATGTTTAAAGTACTGGGTCCTTATCCAGTTGACAAAGTGTTTTTATGGAAAGTTACTTTTTTGCAAAGTTGATTGAAGTAAATGCATTACATTCAAGAAGCTTTTTATTAATACACTTCAGTGATGAAGGACATTTTCAGATTGAACTTCAACCACTCGAGTCCATTGTTAAAACACATAATCAGAAAGCTCAGTATGAATGACAAAAGAAAATGCAAGGCTTCGGGGTGAATATCATTATTATGCATGTGCCTGTGCATTTAGGACAACAGTACATCTGTGGTGTGTGCTCTGAAAATTCAGTTACAAATATGATGCTTTAGAAATGATCCAGATACCATCCATTGTTCAACTGAGGTCATTGTTTTTGATTGTCCATAACAAAAGCAGCCGTCTGCCTTGAAACTATTTTAAATTATTTATTTCTTCAGATCTCTGATGAATCACTGCCTTATTGAGTTATGCACAACAAAGAGATCTGACAAAATAAAGAAAATAACTAGTACAAATAGTTTATATCCCGTGAAGCGCTTTGAGATGTCTCAACGACGTAATAAGGCGCTATATCAAATGCAATTATTATTATAATATTATTAGGAGTCTACTAAATTCCAAATAAAATATAGTATAGCTCTAAGCATGTCACCGCCTTCAATAATTCTCAGTATTTAATAAAAATGTAAGGCTTAAAAAAAACTGTAGTACAGCATATCAGAATTGTGCTCCAGGCAGACATTTGCATCTCCACCACACCAAAGGTTGCAGCTTTCTATTATTCTGTGAACTGTATATACTTCCCCAGTTCTTTTCCAATGATTCCGTATTCACTCTGCTTGATGGGAGAACTCGGTTTTTCAGTGGTAACACCAAAAGTCAGACATCTTGTGGTTTCCTGTGGTTAAAATCATACCCCTTATATTTTCACTCTTGAATCCATTCTGCAAGGACATTCTTAGTTTCCCCCCCTCCCCCACCCCACTATTAGATTTTTATAATGTTGCGCATTTAAACCAAGTCCCCTTCCCATAATTGTTTCAGTAATGTGAACAAATAAAGCTCTCTGTATAGTTGAGTGAATTCAGTTTCAGATAGCAGATGCTGCATCAATTTCAGTTTTGCTTTTTGGTGTAATTTATCAATTTCTATCAACTTAGTGAATGACTGATACTGACACTTTAAACAGGCTGTTCTTCAGGTGTAGAACTGCTAATGAGCACTGGTATTCATATGGGGTTTAGTTCAATTATTAATCATTTGACATGATGCAATACTGTTGCAAAAACTTGAAGACATTCAAAATAATTTCAACATTGGAGTAAATATTATTTGTCAGTTGTGTCAGCAAATGCAATGCTGTGGGAAAACTACACATTACTTTGAACAGCAAAGTACATTGTTGATATATTTGTTGAGTAGCTTAATGATTAGAGCACTTGTCTCGCAAGCGAGAGGACCTGGGTTTGATTCCCCGGCAGGGCGAAACGTTGGGCAAGTTTCCTTACTCCAGACGCCTGTTTACCTCGCAGTAAGTGGGAACCCGATTGTTTGACTTAAAAAATACTATGAATATAATTTAATCACTCAATCTACGACCGTTTGTGGGACACTGTCGTGCACAATTGGCTGCCATATTTCGTCCACAAAATATAATCAATTAACTTTAAATTATATTCTGTGAAGCGTTTTGAGACATCTCGAAAATGTGTTAAGGTCCTATATTAAATGCAAAGATTATTATTATTATTAATTTATTAAAAATGTCTTGTGGGAAACAAATAATAGAAAGATGTGTAGTGTTGTTAGCCTCCATCCAGAAAGGTGCATGCATGCTATAGTGATCAATTTTGTACGCTTTATCCTTGCACACATTTTGTCTGGGAGATGTCTGACAAGACACATCGATTTTTCTCTGGGTAAAGAAGAACTGATTACATTTCCACTTCAAAGAGCACTGTTTTGTAGCGATGCTTGAGTTGTAATTGAAAACCCTGGTGGGTTTTGTTGTAGCATGCATGCATGAACACAACTATTGAACACCACAAGTTATACTTCATGCTTTTACTTGTGTTTCACTCACGGACAATGATGAGTCTTCCCTTCTTTGTGTTCAAACACTGATGTGATTTATTATGGAAAGAATCTATTTCACCTCCTTGCTTAGTTAGGCATGAACATCGTTAATAAGAAATTCAATATTGTGTGGTATGATGAGTGCAATGACAACAATCTAATCACAGCTTTCCTACAGGTTTAGGAATCCATCATCATAACAAGAGCAGATTACAGTTGTGTAACACCATAGACATCTGTATATTACGATTACATAAATTGTCAGTTGGATGGAGAATAAAGCTATACTTATTTTTATTAGTTCTAATTCTCCAAGTGGCAAATATTTGTGTTTATGTTATCATAAATCTTCAAATGCTAAATCTTCTAAAAGGGAGGCAGCAGTTACTCTCCTATATACTATAATTCAATGAACCATAGGTACATTCCCAATTATAGCATTGAGAAAACTCAAGCTGTTTGGAGCTCCATTATACTGTG